CTTTATCTAAAGCCCATTAAAGGGGTTCCCCCCCCCCCCCGCCCCTGCAAAACCATTGCTGACCCTGATCTAACATGTAAATGTATGTCAGTAATTGACACAGTGACACAATGATTTACTTACATCCATTGTTTCAAATAATCATTGCAAATATCAAATAAGAACATAGCAGAATTCAAAAAATTTTCCCTAATGGGCAAACTCCCTCCTTGCTGATGAGCTGGGCTGCAAAATTGTCCTTGATAAAATAAGCATAAATATGTCACGGCAGACAGATGTCTCCACTGCTCTTATGCAAATACATATTAAATAAGGTAAAGTTAGCTTTTTTGAAAGAATGTATTAGATAGCATATAAGTAAGAGAAAATGTTAGTGCAGTAGGACATAGTAACTGAACGACTGTCTCTTGCCACCACGCAAGTTCTCAGGGGAAGAATACACATTTAATAAAATAAATGGTGAACTAAAGCCAAGACATTTATTTTCACAGCACTGTCCAATAGCATTATCCAGTCACAGCATTCATTTATCCCTTATGAAATGCTCCTAAAATCAGTGGAGTTACAGCCAAAGGCATTATTTCCACATGTCTAAATGGCTGGTGAAGGTTAAATCATTTTATCTAGTGGATCTTGATGCCCAATACATCGCTAGTTGAAGTCTGATCGATTTAGTGGACCAATCTGATCTACTCAGTATAAATTCCATAGGGGTGCCCATTCAAAGATTTTAATGGTACTTCATAAGCACTACTGAATTAAGCTTCTTAACACCCCGTGAGGTAGGTATTTTACAAGTGGGAATACCGAGGCACAGAGAGGCAAAATGACATGCCGACATAACAAAGGTAGACTGGCAGAGCTACACATAGAATCTGGGTTTCTTGTCTCCCACTTCTCCAATCTAATCCAATGATTTTCCTCTCTTCCTTTAGAAGAATTGATCAACGATAGCAAGTATCCTGATTTGATAGCTAAAACTGTATTTTAATGCTAATGCTCAGAAACGCATTGGTTAACTTGTAATTGTAGCTTCTGTAATGATGTCTGGAGTGTTTCTGTAGGGTTTATTGTGTAATATTAATATCTTTTCTCCTTTATGCCAACACAGAACTCTTATTAGTTAACTCTTCCTAGCTTGTAACTAGACCACCATGAAAAAGTCATTACTGCTATTGTAAATTGAAAATGTTAACGCCCAGTAGGCTTGTAGTGTTTTTTTCTTAATAATGGGATCACAATTCATTTGGTATGTGCAGAATACTGCTAGAGATTTACTTCCTTGTACATCATCTACATTACTTGAATCCTTCCTGTCAGCAAACTAGTCCATTGCTTAGTTTAATCATAGTGCTGAAACAGATTCTGACTTCAACACTGGATCACCCCACTGCAGGTCTGCCCATCCTTAATACGTTCCAACTTGGCACCCAGATGCTGCAACTAAGAGCATCATTTCCACTGCCCACTGTGCAGGCAGATGTCCTTAAAAATTAAAGACCAAATCAGGTGATCTGTGTCCTGCTATTGTGTAGAAAAAGTTTTTCATGTTGCTAACAGCATTAGTAGCAGTGGAAGAGGAGACAACACCGGGTGATGCATGAAATGCCGTCCGTTGATGCTTGCCATAGTTCTCTCAGGTTTCTACTAAGGAATTATTTGCACCTTTTAGCCAGTGGCATAGGTGTAGTTCATGGAGCTTTGTCTTTAAAATGAAGCTGCACCTGCAGAGGCAACAAGCTCCAGAATGCAACTTTTGCTCTTGATGAAAAAGTCCAAGACAGGAGGATAAGGAGGAGAGCTCTGCATGCTAGGTTATATTTTCTCTGTGGGCAGCACTTTTCTGTTAGGGTTGAGGGCAGGCCTTGTGCTCCTGTAAGGCAGTCAAAGTTGTTCTCAAAACTGTTCTCTGCTTTGGCCCATGAAGAGAAGAACTGAAGAGAGCTGCTCCTGAATCAGCTCCTCATTTCTGTATACTCATCATAGGGTGTAAACTGTAACCTCAGACCCACTTCAGAGTGGTAGACCCTCAGGCACAGTGCATCATACGCCACAGTTGGCTTACAAATATATTTAAATTTCCTTGTGATCAAAACAAACCAGCTCCAGAGTCTATGCTACTAAACTCAGTGGTTTTTTGGCTTCATTTTATCATCATTCCCCATTTTTAGTGAGAAAAATCAAGGGAATGATCACAGACTCCACAGTGCCAGGCAGCAACATCTCTGAGAGGACTGCCTTTCATTCGACAGCTGAAACGTGCAGAGTAGACAGTGTTTCTCAACACAGCAACATCTCACCCTGGTGCCGCCTTGCACCATATGAACATGGCCAGGTAAACCATGTGGGCTATATAGGCCAGATTCTGTAGAGCAATCGCACAATGCTTCCATTGAAGTTAAAGGGAATTTTACTTAAGGACTCGTGAATTTTATCTGGTGGCTTGTTGAATGTGTGCTTCCTGAAACAGTGCCATTGTTTACAAGCCACAGAAGCAGCAACCCAATTTCCTGAAGAGAGAGCTCTGATTTTACTTAGACATTTAAAAGTCAAGTATTTATTCCATATCCTAATAAAACATATTCTTTACAGGCATCTCACCACAAACATTGGACCCTGCACTTTCATCCAGCAAATGATGCTGGGTGATTCTAACAGTAGCTTCCCCCTGCATGTCAGGGACCGTCAACGCTGCCTAGCTCCAACAACACTTATGGCAACAGTTGCTTAGACAAAGCTTCATGTTTTCAAGTGTAAGAAATGGACATATCATAAAGCCAAGGGGAAGTGCAGCAGTCAAGTAGAGAGCAAATGACACAACAAATTCCCTGTAATGCTTTTGGGAGCAGGTACCTATTGTAGGACATATCCAGTGTTTTATTCTCCGAAGGTGCAACAGGAGAATCAGTTTTCTAGTTTATCATTCAAATTGGACTTAAAACCTCAAACAAAATCTTGCAAATGTTTTCTGCTTCAGTCAATGCCTCTGCATGTCTAGCTAAAGACAGACCAGTATATCAAATTAAACAATATATAAGTGCCTGGAAATATTAATCTTGAGTATTTATCAATTGCATGAGTGTTCTGCATGATGCGCTGGCCCACATGGCTTCCCAGCCTTCTCTTTCTTGATGAGTTAGATTCATTGCTCATGGCCAAATGGACCATGATCTTTTCTTGTTTTTCTTCCTCGGTTACTATTTGGCTCCGTGTATACCCTGCCAAACTGTTGGCATCAGATTCACTGTAGTTTCCATCCAGCATCATAGTTGTATGAGGTATTCCACAAGAACATGAAAACTGAGGATACAAGCAAAACAAAACAAACAATAGTTCAACACTGAAAGAAAATATATGAGGCAAAGATAATACTTTTTTATAGACAGCTTGTTAACTCTGGAATTGCACAGTATAGTTGGGCTCTGAAAAGTTTCTCTATTAATGAAAACTGCCCATTTTTGGCTCGAGTTTTCCAACATGAGAAGATGCTAGCTCACTTCATTGGTTGCAGCTTTTATTTTGCATGGGGGTTTGTTTCTGTAAACCTATGAAGTAATGCAATAAAATCTTGAACCATAGGTAACAATGCCTACAGACAATTCATTAACCTAAAAATAAACCACTATTGTTTTCTTTGTTCTGGGTGTAGCCAAACGTTTTGGCCAAATGAAGCCAAAACCACTGTGGTATTCTACCAACCTAAACGATAGCACAGTTATTCTAACTGGTTTGATTTGCATCAATACTGAGATTATTTTTAGAATACATTTTAAACACAAACAAATCTGCATTTAGAACCTGTTTTATACTTGGTTTGAAAGCAAATGTGGCTGGAACCTCAGATTTTGGGGTGGTAGATAACTGCTGAAGAGTATCTGATGTAAAACATTTCCACAAAAGGCACAAATCCTCCATGTGTGATCTAGAAAATGTCCTTCATGACATGATGTGAAGAAAAAGCATCATGTGCTCACCTCCATGTGTAAGTAAACAATATTTGATTTATATTTAATCCCCACACAATGTATGTCAAGACGGTAGTAATCCTCATTCAGTCCTATCAGGCTTCTGAGCTGACAGGGCCAGGATGTAGCAGTAAGTGGCAGGTGATATGGAGCACATCATATTTACCCAAACCCTGAATTTAAGATGGCCCCTCCCCCCCTAATTAGATTCTGTACATGGAAAATGTATACATTTATTATAATTTTCCATGTATGAAATCTAATTATTGAAGGATCATCTGAAAATCTGTCTGCCTCCACTACTGCAGGTGGTGGGGGGGAGAGGTGGTGAGGGGGGCAGTAATGGGGCAGGCAGTGAGGGTCAGATAGTGGGGGAGGCAGTAGGGGGTATGTGGTAGGGCAGGCAGCATGGAGGCAGTGGGGCATGCAGAAAGAGAGGCTGGCAGTTTACCCCCTGCCTCCTGCTCTCCCCTACTTATTCTCCATTGTGCCTGCCCCTCTACAGCCTCAGGCTGCCCCCAATCACCCTTCCCCTGCCCCAGCTTCCCCCTCCACAGGGGGATTACAGCAGAGGGAAGTAGAGGGGGAGAAGAAGCACAGGGAAGAGACTGGGGGTTGTGGGGGAGGAATGGCTGGGTGTGCAGAGGCAGCAGGGGGCAGGCATCAGCCAGGGCTCCAGTTCCTGCCCCAACCCATGCTCAGTTGTAAGACGAGGGGCTTCCCCCCACATGTTAAAAGTGGGGGGAAACCATGTCTTCTAATTAAGTAAACATGGTAATTGATTGCTTTGAAGTAATGGCTGAAGGATCCAAGAGGAAGAGCAAAAAATTCTAGTGATTTAGGTGCCTCTTAGTTCCTAGGTTAGGTTACAATTTGACTTCAGGAAAAGGCATAGATAGCAGGTATGGATGGCATAACTCTGATGTGTTTTGTAGGCACTTTGTAGAACAGTCATCACTTGACCAGAAAAGTAGGGAATGAAAGAAGGTAGCCAAAAGTTTAAATGGTTCCAGTCCCAAGAGTCCTTAGCCCATCCATATATGGGGTAGCCGAAGTGTAACTGTCTTTAAACCATCATAGTGGCAGAGTCCATTTCTTAGCACAAAAATTTAGACTGGAATCCATGGGTCTCTGGCTCTGGCTAATAACATCTAGATTACTCCAAGAGGCTCTTAAAGGGCCATTTTTACACTTAGACTCTAACCTAGATTTTTCTAGAGCCCCATTAGGCTGTTATACTTCTTATCTCTATTTCCTTTTACCAGCATTCACAATTAATATCACCATACACTGGAAAGGTTATTGATTTTCCATAAAATTGTAAAGGGGTTTCTTTTATTGCGTGATGATACAGTCCAGTGCTGTAGCACCAGAAACTGAGTATTGACCGGTGACAGAAATAACAAGTTGTGCCATCACTGAGTTACCATCTTGGGAAAGCTCACACAGCTCTGGCACAAAAACCTTTTTACTCTGCTATCTGAGTGATTATACATACATACATACATAAATCAAATATATAACAATTTTATATATACAGAATAATACATGGGATACTCAGAGTAATGGACAGACTACATGAAGCTTTGCATCTCTAACTAGTTTTCCTGAACTCAAACTTGGGGTGGAGAAGGCACTAGATGCGAGTAAGAACTGGCCATGGGAACAAGAAGTCTTCAGCTGGCATTTGAACAAGGAACAGGCTTTGAACCAGTATTTCAATCTGTTCTGTGTACAGAGAGTAACATGGAAGAATGCAAATGGACAGTTTTGGGAAGGAATTATGTCATGGTCAGATCATATGACAAGTCAGAGGTGATTGTTTCAGTGACAGAGGTGGGAGGTGACAGAGGTGTAAACAACAAATATGTTCATATTTTGGAAACAGAGAGCGGAAAGTAGCATGCCTTGGTGACAGCCTGGATGTGTGGACAGGAGGCACTAAAGACTGTGCTGTATTCTTTGTTAGCCATTATGCATACTACTGTTTCTTTATATGTAGTAACTTTGTGTGCCTCCTGAGGCACTGTTTCTTTCTGTCTGGATCTCTCCCAGAACAATGAAGTGACCAGCAATATAAGTGGTGTGCTACTCTCCCTGTCCTTGGCTAGTCTAACATCCCCACCACAGTGGAGCCAAGAGGTATAACAAAGATGACCCTGAGATTTCAGGCAAGCCTCAGCATGCAGAGGACAGCAGTTTGGTTAATGATCACGCAGAAGGCAATAGTTTCAGGGGAAAAATAAAAATCCCAATTTCAGCAAAGCATTGTGTAATCTAGCAGTGCCTGGTACCATGGAACAGTTCTCCTATTAGATTTAATAAATGCAGTTTCTATTATGTACCTGATTTCAGTTTGGACTATTTTAGTCATTCAATATAGTAGAGTAGCTTTAAAAATATTGTTTTAGCCACAGGGAAATATCAGACTAATTTTTCCCCTTCTTGACCTCCCCTTTGGTCTGGTCTCTAGTAAAGTCCCTAGTTGAAAACTTCCCTGTTTCTAATCTTAGTTTTCTTCTTACTGCTGTTTCTATAAGATCAATGAGGCTAATTCCTGTTTTGTGGTGTCAAGGCTTTAATGTCATAGAATCAATGAATCAATGAGTCGGAAGGGACCTAGACAGATCATCTAGTCCGACCCCCTGCCATGGGCAGGAACGAGCACTGGGGGTGGCAGGGGTCATAAGACCCCAGCCAGGTGCCTATCCAGTCTCCTCTTGAAGATCTCCAGGGAAGGTGAGAGCACCACCTCTCTGGGAAGCCTATTCCAGGCTCTGGCCACCCTTACAGTGAAGTAGTTCTTCCTAATATCTAACCTAAACCTATCCTCCCTCAGCTTGTGGCCATTGTTCCTGGTGACTCCAAGGGGGGCCCTGGTGAACAGACTTTCCCCGAGTCCCTGCTGCTGGCCCCTGATAAGGTTGTAGGCAGCCACAAGATCCCCCCTCAGTCTCCTCTTGCGGAGACTGAAGAGATTCAGGTCCCTCAGCCTCTCCTCATAGGGCTGGCCACGGAGGCCCCCAACCATACGAGTGGGCCTCCTCTGGACCCTCTCCAGGTTCTCCACGTCCTTCTTGAAGTGCGGCGCCCAGAACTGGACACAGTACTCCAGCTGCGGCCTGACCAGTGCCGCATAGAGGGGGAGCAAGACCTCTCTGGACCTGTTAGTGATGCCCCTGTTGATGCATGACAGGGTGCGGTTGGCTCTGCCTATTGCTTTGTCGCATTGGCGACTCATATTCATCCTGGAGTCAATCCTGACTCCAAGATCCCTCTCTGCCTCTGTGCTGCCGAGAGGGTCAGCCCCTAACCTATAACCATAATGCTGGTTCCCTCTCCCCAGGTGCAGCACCCTGCACTTGTCCTTGTTGAACCGCATCCTCTTCAGATCCACCCACTTCTCTAATCTATCCAGGTCTGCCTGGATGTGGTCCCTGCCTGCCGGTGTATTCCCTTTACCCCACAGCTTGGTGTCATCAGCGAACTTGAACAGGGTGCTCTCCACACCCTCATCCAGGTCGCTGATGAAGATGTTGAACAGCACCAGCCCAAGGACCGAGCCCTGGGGGACTCCACTGCCCACACCCTCATCTTGAGCATTCTAGACAATAATTACAGTAATTACACATACAGACAGAAAGGTGTTCCCATTTATATAATTTTGAAATATCCATTAAAAACACATCTGATATAACAAAAACATCTCTCACCCTCTCTCTCAGCTTCCTCTCCTTCCGTTCTTGCACTGTAGTCAAATAGTTCACTGCCGCATATTCCAGCACTGATAGAAAGACGAACACAAAACTGACCCATAGGTAGATGTCCACAGCTTTGATGTAGGAAACACGGGGCATGGAGGCATTGACACCAGTGATGATGGTGGACATGGTCAGCACCGTGGTTATCCCTGAGGAAGACCCAGCAAAAAATTAATTTAATTGCAGGTCTAATAAGGAAAGCATTTTCTATAGTGTCTGTCTGTAGATATAGTACCACCCCCCAGGGGTGGATCCAGGGTGGGTGCTCTGGTGCAATTGCACCCCCTTTGATTCCTGGTCTACCCAAAATTCAAAATCAACCGCCTGGCAGTAGCAGCAGCATTTTGAATCAGACAGTGCTGAGGGAGTCAACTGACTTCATGGTTCATTAGAATCTACCTCAACCCTTCTAAACGCTTTATTCCATAGGGCTATGTACAGACAGTCAAAAAGCCTGAGGCTGAATCGATTCAGACTTTGCAGGTTAGTCTAAACTGCAGGGATTAAATTGAGAAACAACTGGACACGCATTCACTTTTGATTCAGGAAAGGCAGCCACATGCCTGCAGTGACTCAGGCCAGAAGCCAGGGGGCCCTAGAGCACAGCTCTCTGGCATGGAGTTAGCATGGGCTGTACATTCCCTTCTTCTTCCAGCTACCCCTGAGGTCTTTGGGATTTGCAGTACAGAATCACAGCAGCCGGACTCTGCAGGGCTACTCATCACTTCCTCTTCCTGCTTCCAGGTGCCTCTGAGATTTGTAGTCCACAGTTGCAGACAGCAGTAATTTTCAGAAAGGTTATCAGGGCAGGGCAGCGCAGCTCTATACCCAGATGAAGGAGAGTTTAGCCAGGGGGAGGGGGATATAACGCCCCCTTCTCTGTCCCCAGACCCCAGCTGGGGTATGCCAGGGGAGTGGGGGCAGTCCCTGCCTCCTCCCCCACCCAACCCTTCTCTGCTAGAGTAGGCAGCACAGCCCAGCCCAGCCCAGGGCTGAAAAGCATGCTGGGGGACTCTGATTTAACATAAACTAGGAAGGGGATTGGGACAGACGTTTCATAAACTGGTTTGACTCAAATAAGTTAAGTTTGATACTACATTCAACTAGGTTTATCTTAAACCAGTTTCAGCCATTTTGAAACTGGTTTATATGCATTGAACTTCTGTTCTGTTACAGGTTTAAATCAGTTTCTAATGCCTTAAATCAGTTTACATGTAATTTCTGTCCCTAGCCCAGGTATTAACCCTCTCTTCTTTTGGTTTTGATGTTCGAACAATTGAGCTAGCCTTTGTTCTGTAATGATGGAACAGTGGAAGCAGGGGGCAGGGACAAAGGAGGAGTACACCTCCCTGACCCAAGCTTGTAGGGATTTGGTGAGCAAGGCTAAAGCAGCACTGGAGCTTAGATTAGCTTCTGGGATTAAGGACAACAAAAAGTCCTTTTTCAAGTATATAGGTAGCAAGAAGTCTCGGGGTAACATTGGACCCCCTACGGGGCAGGGCAGGGCAGGGCAGTTGGTGATGGACGCGTGAGAGAAGGCAGAACTCTTCAACAAGTTCTTTGCCTCCGTGTTCCTGTCCGCTGACAATGGGGTGCTCTTGGGTGACAGCGTAGAGAGGCCCAGGAAGGATGCGAGTCCCCCGACTGTTAGTTCAGACCTAGTTAAGGATTACCTGGACGGCTTAGATGTGTCCAAGTCAGCAGGCCCGGATGCCCTTCATCCGCGGGTGCTGAGGGAATTGGCTGGTG